TACAGATAGGAATTCTGTTTGCAGATAAAATGTAAAACAGGAATAGGAATACATGAATAATAATTATATGCAGCTGCACTACTGAAGATATTTATGAAATTGTTTTTATTCGTGCTTTGTTAGACTGATTTACTAAGCCTTCAGGTTCATAGGACATAATTATATTGTAGCTTATACAATGTACTGTCATTCATGAATGTTAATAATTTGTTGCTAAGCTTTCTTCTCCCTTAGAAATCAGTAGTCTCTCTCAAACTCTGATTATCTTAATAATATTCTTGTTTAATCTTTAATGATAATACATCAGTTTTGTTTGTTAAGAAGAGTTTGGTGTCGACATACTGTTTTTCAGATCAGTCTTTCTTCCTAAACTAGGAAAGATCTGAATGATTAAGATCCCTTTGTGTGTTTAATACACTTTAAGTTAGCCCATTCTTTGTTATTAAGAGGGGAAAAAATACAGCCATGTGAGAAAGTTCTATCTGTTCCATAGCCAGGTGATCCACACAGCACAGCTTAGGCAGCAGTTACAAACTAAAATGAAAAGATTTTTTCATCATGTCATTAAAAAAAACCCAAACCCTAGGTATCTAGTCAATGACATCCAAAATCTGGAAGGTGATACAGCTCGTATGCTGGGCACTTACAGGTTCCATGGATGCCTGCAGAACGGTCAGGTCCTCTACAAACTCCTGTCATGTCTACAGATTTCCTCACCATTGGATTCTCTTTCTTGTTTTCGTTACAATTATGAAAATAGAAGGTGGAATCAGGCTGAAGAAACTTTTCTGTTGGGAAAAAATTTGTAAAACATGGGTTTAAAATTTTAAAATGTATGGATGAATGGACATAAGTATTGAAGTTGAGTTATGGAATTAAAAATATTTTTAGGGTAATTTTATTTTTGTTTTTTTGGGGTTTTTTTGTTTTGTTTTTCTTTCCAAAATGAAATATTTGGGTGTCTATGTTCTTCTGAATTACTCCTAACACTACAGCTAAACTCCAGTGTTTGTTAATAGGCCAACAGTGGAATCTAACATAGAAATCTAGTGCAAGCAGATGCTTAGTAAAGATAGATTTTAGCTTCAGGTTGTCTAGAGGTTAATGCAGACAATGAAATAAGATTAAGAAAACGAGGTTTATTTAGTTCATTTTTAAAATAGTAGAAGGAGTGACTCACATCAGAAAGCTCAAATACATGAAAGGCTGCTTCAGAGGGGAAATGAATAATTGGTTCCCTTTACCAGTAGCAGGTAAAATAAAAAGGTTACAGGCTTAAATTCTAGTAAGAAGGATTCAACTCTAAAGGAAACTTCATGTCAGTGGGATAGCAAAGCACTGTACTAGAGTGGAAAATGGTGGAACCTATTGCCTTCCAGCTGTGTTTTTCTTTGGTTACCTGAGAGATAACATGGATCTCATTTTGCAGCAGGATAAGAAAGTCCTGCCCAAAAACTTGACTTGAAGTAGCAGTACTTTATCTTCTTGAATTGTAGAAAGGAATGAAACCTATGACTTATTTGGAGTCTGTGCAAAGGGTCCCGTTAGCATCCAAGACACTGCATGTTAGATTGATCTACTTCACTATTTCTTTGTTCCAAGACCAAAGATTTTCTCAGGATGAGGCTTGCCAAGACACTGTCATTGCTGAAGTACCTTAAAGGCAGACAAAATCTAATTTCAGTAGAGGGGAGGGGAAAATTCTTCTCTGTATAATTTATTTTACAGCTTTCCTCAGAAGTACAAGACCAAGAGATTTTTTTTTCTTTCATTCTCCTTCTCATAATGTTTCTTTTCTTTTTTGCTGTTTTTCCCACCTATATATTCTGGACTTTAAGTTAGGATTCTCCTCTATAGTTCACAGCATTTGGGCTAGGAACAGAAAATTCTGAAGTGCGTATTTCAGATATCTGATAGTCTGAGCCAAGGTCCTTCAAAAGTTTTTATTCTTCTTGCAGAAAACTGCAGAACCAGATTTTCTGTCTTTTTTCTTGTTTCATAATCCTTTCTCATAAGGACAGAGTAAAGAATTTTGTAACACTAAATTCCAATAGCTCTCAAACATTCACCAGTCTGAGGTCAATTTGTCTGACTTTTCAAAAAGAAACTTACTTTCAGAGTGTCATCTGACTTGCCAGTATGTTGGCTGTGTCTTCTAGGCTATTTTGAAGGCTGAGGGAAGACCCAGGTGGTCTACTTCCTTTGTTCAGTGATTGAGGGTGGCTTTCAGGCATCCTGTACTTACCTTGCATGTAAGACTTTTTAGGTAGAGAAAGGCTATACTGTCCTCTCCTGCTGTTTCTGAGCCAACTCTCTTTTCCTTTTCTGCCAAGTGTGTCTGGCACTCTGCTAGATTCCTGTTTGTTCTCCCTGCTCCACTTCTCCCATAAGCAGTAGTCTCCAAGATATATTTTCTGTCTCTGTATTAATAGCTTTTCTAATTGAGATATCTAATTGAGATAGAAGGTTTAACTTCTGGCAAGTTTTCTTACTTGCAGCCCCATACTTCTGACTTCTTCAATTATGTTGCAGTGAGGATGATTTTGTGCGGTGATAGGTGACCTCCCAAACTTACCAAGCAATTTCGTCTGCCCTTAGCACCTGAGAGCTTCATAAAAAGCCCTGGTCTGTGTCTGCATACCAAGTTCTTGCTGAGAAGGTAGCAAGAAGGTGGCACCATTTTACATAACTGTGACATGCTACTCAGAACTATTTTTCTTCCCTTACTATTTGTTTTGATATCATTGACTTGAGAAGATGAATATAAAAATAACCCCATTATTAAATATTACTCATTCTAAATATTAATGCAAAGAGACACTACATACTATGCTGAAATCAGTCCACTCTGTGTCAAACATTTATTTCTTAGTTCCATGGTCTTGTTTCTACCTAGTACATTGCTCTTTCCAACATTCAGGCTCTGTCTGAGCTATCTTCAGATAGCTATCTTTCAGAGCTATCTTCCAATAATGTTGGGAAGAACAAGCTTCATCTGCAAAGTGGCGCATAAACAAAGTTATTTCTGTGGTTACCCCAATCTTGCACCTACTTAATTACACAAGCTCTCCCTTAAAACTGTGAAGTGTAAGAAGGTATGAATATGTAAAGTTGTATGTAGGTACTGATTGTAGCAATTCATTTATATTATAAATATAAATTTTCCCATCTATTAAACAAAATTTCCTTATTCTGAATGGTTCCTATATATAGAGATAGTGTGAAGGTGAAAGACTTCAGTCTGGGTCTTAATCCTGTCTATACCTTCCTGTCCTGTTGTATTTCCCTGTTTTGTGGAGCTCACAAACAGATTGTGGGTTTGATCTCTGCAGGTCATTCATTTAGGAGCTGGATTTGATGATCCCTGTGGGTCCCTTCCAACTCAGAGTATTCTGTGATTTTGTGATTCTGTGGTTGTTGAGTTTGTGTGTGAACTGCAGAGGTAAATGTGTGTTTAAGGTAAACATCATTAAATTAGAAATATTTGAACTTATAACCTGAAGATTTCCACAATCTTTAATTTCAGTTTGATCTTTTACTTACACTGAGCCTATGTTCACCTATAAAGCACATTTGGTGTTAGTAAAATAAACCTGAACAATAAGTTAATTTAATGTGATCATATTTGCTGTGTTCATAAAAGGGGAGTGCACCACAACTTTGGTTAACCTGCTGCGAAACTAAAATGGTGGAGTAGGCAAGATAAATTTAAAACTGAAAATGGATACATAGGTTGGTGTTAGGCTGCATATAAACAGTGTATATACAAACAGGTGAAAACCCAGAAGTGTTGTATGAGGCAGAGAGAGCCCACAAAACACTTTAAGGTGTGGTGGGGGGATACTGTTCATTAATGTAATGATTCAAAATCTGGAAATTGTGATGTGTTTGAAATAGGTGGCTGAATCAATTTTGATTTGGTTTGGTTTTTTTTGTTAAAGAACAGAAGATCGGATTTATGTGGTTGCAAATATTTTGTTACTGGGGGGAGTGAAACTGCAGCAATACATTTTAACTGAGTCTTGTAGATTGGCAATATATGTACCTTTCATTCTACTGAGCACTTCCAGCCCTCAAAAGAAAAGACATTTTTAGAGCTGTATCAGTGTCCTCACTTCCTCAAAAGTCTTTCACTGTTTTCTGTATAGTCTTGATTTTGAGAATACATAGAAACCTGACAACTGCAGCTACTTGTTTCTGAAACGTTGTCTCAAGAGGACAGCAGGTTTCAGAGGCCTTGTACAAGAGTTCTTAAGATAGTGGCTTTAATCCATAAAGCTTTCAGTAATTTGGACCTCACACTTCTACACAATTAAGAGCATAAGCAGTTGGCATTAAATCTATCTTGATTTCAAAAGTCAGTTCCTCTTATCAGAGAGTTTTCTCTAAGTGAAGGCAGACTCTGCTACTTCACTCTCTCCTGGACACCTGCTTTGCCTATAAGTATGTGATTTTGATATTCTTCTCAGAAAGCTGAATGTCTCCCTACCCTCTCTTTCATGTTCTTTGAGAGACAATAACAATTCAGTGTAAATGTGTGTGCAATTGTGGATTTATTATTGTAGATGGTGATTATTATTATGTGCCCTGTGGGCAGTCAACTGTACGTGGCATATATTGTAGATTTATATCTTGTCTGCTTAAAACACTACTTGAAATGCCTAGAGACAGGGTTAGCTGCTTAAATTGTAGCTTCAAATAAATAAATAAATAAATTAAATAAATAATTGAAACAGACAGTTTCAGATAATAAAGAGAGATTGCTTACAGAAAATTCTGTAAGTCTTAGAGCAACAGAATCTTTAATAAAGAAGGTGAAATAAAATTCCCAAAGAATTTCTTATCTGCAGGTAAAATAAATTAAAACAACCAAGCACCCAAACTAGTAGGATATATACCTGGTGAATTAGAATCTTTATGTATGGTATACAACTAATTACTAGGGAGCACTTTATTTACCTCTAATTTCTATTTAATAGCCACTGCACTTGTCATTGCAGGTATGGTTACAAAAGTATGGCTACCTTCCACCAACTGACCCCCGAATGTCGGTGTTGCGCTCTGCAGAAACCATGCAATCAGCTATAGCTGCCATGCAGCAGTTCTATGGCATTAATATGACAGGAAAAGTGGACAGGAACACAATTGAGTAAGTAACCAGTACTGAACTGCTCTTGACTTTTCTGTTTCAAGCAGGGTAAAATAGAACGGGGAAGCAGCTGTGTAACCGGAGTATCCCAATAGTGTTGCAGCTTCAGATGGGGAAGTAAATTGTTTCTCTCTTCCTTGCCTTTTCATTTTCTTCATCTTTTTTATTTCATGGTAGCTGGTAATCACCTGCCTAACTGAAGTCTGCCTTTGGGCAAGTGATTGTAAACAAGATATTGCAGGGTTACCTAAAGTAAGGGCCAAAAGGTTATCATTGTGGAAAGGAGAAAACATGTTTGAAACTGGCAAGAATCCATGAAATGTATCACAGTTGAAGGAGTCTTGTTTTACTGGAAAGTCTTTAGTGTAAATTTCTTTAGTCTTATTTATTAAATTTAGCAGACTCCACTGGCCCATTTGTTTAGTGTTTCTAGTAACAAAAAAACAGGTGTGGTTATGGTTGAACCGATGGGTGCTCCTGGGACAAGTGAAGAGATCTGAATCTTGACTCCATGTTTCAGAAGGCTGATTTATTATATTATGATATATTAAAATGATATACTAAAACTATACTAAAAAGAATAGAGAGAAAAGGATCCTTCAGAAGGCTAGAAAGAACAGCAGAGGAATGAGGGATGATAACAAAAGCTTATATATAAGCTTTATAATAACTCCCAGAGAGTCCGAGCCAGCTGCATCTTTGATTGGTTATTAAGTAGAAGCAACTCACATGAACCAATCTAGGATGCACCTGTTGGTAAACAATGTCCAGACCACATTCCACAGCCATCAGTTAATTGTTTACATTTCTTTTTTGAGGCTTCTCAGCTAGAATAGGAGAAAAATCCTAGCAAAGGATTTTTCATAAAATATTATGGCTACATGTGGTGATTTTAACATGCATTAAAATTGAATTAGTTTTGCATGCCCTTTGCAATTCTGAAGTTGTTTCAGGCTCTCTGTTCCAGATTTTGGTGACAGAATGGACACAGAGAAACTTTGTAAAAGAGAGATATTACAGGACACTTTCAAACAACTCTATACCGTGCCAAATTTTAAAAATGTGCCCAAAAAAATAAAATAACAGGGGCTATTAATACTCAATTAATAGAACATATCTGATATTAAGATGGCAGGACCAGGGCAGGGATCATGCCCCTGTACTTCACACTGGTGGGGCCTAGCCTCAAATTCCCCATTCTATTTTGGGCCCTTTACTGCAAGAAGGCATTGAGGTGCTGGAGTATGTCCAGAGAAGGGAAACATTGCTGGGGAAGGGTCTGGATCATGAGTCCTGTGAGGAGCAACTGTGGGAATTGTGCCTCTTTAACCTAAAAAAAGGAGTCTCAGGGGTACCTTATCACTGTCTACAACTACCTGAAAGGAGGTTGTATCCAGGCAGAGGTCAGCCCCTTCTCCCAGGTAGTAAGTGACAGGACAAGGCTCAAGATGCGCCAGGGGAGGTTTAGATGGATATTAGGAAGCAGTTCTTCACCTAAAGGGTTGTCAAGCACTGGAACAGCTTGCCCAGGGAAGTGTAGATGTGGCACTTAGGGACAGAGTTTTATGGTGGTTTGGGCAGTGCCATGATAATGGTTGGAATCCATGATTGTAGGGATCTTTTCAAACTTAAACTATTCTCTGATTCTTTGATTTGAAGTGCTTGTTGGAGTCATTTCTGTTAAATTGTGATAAAGATTATCTCGTGATTTCAGAAAAAGTTACTTTGCTTGAAATGCGAGCAATAACTTAATAGCGCTGTCACTGGATAGCCAACATTTGCTTCAGTGAAATATGCTTCTATTGCTAATTTTAATAGAATTTTAAAATAATTTTTTTAAATTAATTTTTAATAAAATGCTAATTTGGGGGGGGTGGGGAGGAATTGTCCTTCATTTCCCATTTACCACCCCCAACCTGATGTGTCATCTTTTGTTATTCTTCTGTGGTAAAGTAGCTGACATTAATGATTTTTCTATCATTTAGAGTTTAGGGAAGAGACTACACAAAATGCTGGCAGGATTGGAAAAATCATTTTATTCCACTGACACATACACTATTGTATTGAAAAGCAATAAAACAAAGCAGATTTTTGTGGCTGCCCTCAGGGGAGACAAGTTGATCACACATCCCTCAGTTTAGGAATTTAAAGGACCTTAGACCATGCAGTGCAGTAGCAGCAAATGCCTTGTGAGAGAGCCATGCTCAAAGGATGTTTATGGACCTCTGCAGGTGAAGAGTCTGTGCTCTTCATAGAGCTTCAGTGATTGATCTTTGAGGAGAGACTGCTGCCAGTAACTAGGACCATTTTCAAGACACGTTAGTAGCAGCTTTGTCAGATGCAATATATTTCACTAAAAGTAAAATGTTCTGTTAACAGCAGCACAGAAAAGAGAGAAGGGGGTAACCTGAGGGAAATCAGAGGCTATCCCAGTTTAGAGTATTTGCTGTAGAATTTAAAAAAACAAACGAACCCAAAATTCTAAACTCAAATGGAGATGGTTAATGTTGCTAATTTGACATTTTGGCCAGCAAGATTTTCTTCACTTCTGCAATTTCAGAGATGAAGAAATCCATCTATGCAGCAATCCAAATATTAATCTTATAATGTGGTGAATATTGAGTCTTTGAGATCTTTCGATGCATGATTTTCTTCTACACAGAAGATACATTAATATATTGCAATTCTTAGGTACATGTAACTCATGCTGGATGAATGCTGCATTTACTTTGATAGTTGGAGTCCCACTAACTTGATTCGAGTTAGGAACAGAACTGACTCTTATAGGCTTGTCACACTTACATTGGTGTTGAAAAAACAAAACAACAAACACCTGATTTTTAACTAAATTCTGGCCTCAAAGTACCATCAGTTCACATCACTGAATATTCATGGGAGATATGACTGCATAATAAAGGGTAGATTGTTCATTTGTGGCATAATTTTGTAAATTTTTGAAGTTATTTTCTCTTTCATCTACACAGAAAGTATATATGCTCTTTAGGTCAGACATATGTGACAGTTTGTAATTTGTTTCTCTAGGATTAATGTGCTGTAATAACTAACAATGCTGCTGTTGCAAATAGTAAATAAAGCAGGAACCTCATAAAAAAAAATGTTCTCATTTTGTGCAAGAGGATTTACCTTCTTCTTTGACACATCTTGAGAAGAGATTATGATGTGCCTCTTTGTCTTCAAAAGGACAAGCAATTTTAAAAGTTATGGTGGCAACTTTATAGGAACTAACTTTGGGGAATTAAAAAAGAAATAATGTCCTACAGCAGCAGCACCACTATCAAATGTCTCCTGGTGGGATTTTGCTGCTCTGAAAAAAAGATAATCCCTCAATGAATATTTTGGTATGCATAAATTCATCCTCTCCCTACAACTCATCATTCACTTGGTTTTGCTTTTTTTTTTTTTTTTTTTCCTCAAGTGTCTTGGAAAGAATGATACATACTTATTGCTGGGGTAGGGAAGAGTGAGTGGTAGGATGAGACATCCTTACAGCAGTGTAAATATGTGAGGAAGGTTCTGAATACAAGTACCATGAGAATGGCTTACCCAAAGAAAATACTGTCTAATGTTTGCATGGAGTGCCACAGTATTTTCTGTATTTCATTTATATATTACCAAACACAGTCAATGTTTAATGAAAAAAAGCATTTCTGAAACTGGACCCACTGTTGGCATTCCTGGTCTTCTGCACCCCTAAAAGAAACATTGTAGAAAAAGACTAGTTGTTTTTTCTTAAAACTGCTATACATGCTTATTCCTAAGACTTGTTTTGAGCTTTTGAGGAGTACACTGCAAATTTCTTGATATAAAAATGGAATAATCATTTATAGAATGCTGACTAAATCTGTGCAATAATAACAAAACTTTCATTTTATTCCAATGTCGTCCTTTAGAAATAATGGCAAATATGCTTATGTCAATGCTTAGGTGAGCTTCTAACCAAGTTAATGCTCTGTGCTGTTTATATATTAACTATCAGTCCCAAAGTAAATGCTGAGCTGTTGAAATTTATCTATTTTCTTAGTAATTTTAAAATTACTAAGAATCTAAATTTTCTTAATAAATTTAAATTTACTACTTTTAAATCTAGTTGATTTATTTTCTTAGTAAAAGTAGTAATTTTTTTTATACAGAAGTATATATAATGTCTGTATCCCCAGTAAATATCCAATGAGGAGCCTTAAAAAAGGAATCATCAGGGCTGAAATACAATACCTTACATCACTCTTTGACTGTTTTCCATTACTTAGCAAGTGTCAATAATTTCTGTAATAGCAGGCTACAGAAGCAAAGATGCTTAGAAAGACATCCACAGTCATGTCTTCTCCTCACTAGAAATTTAAGGGTGTAATTCAATAGTTTTCTTAAATAGACATCTATACTTTTTCCAACCACTAAGTTAAGGTGCAATAACTCAAGCTGAATCTTCTCTTTTATTTTCCTTTTTTGCTATAACTCTCTCCCAAATAACCCCCAAAGCCCAACAACAACGGAACAATTGTGCAACCTTAGCAGCAATTTTGATAAGGGATTAAGCAGTTTCAGTTCAACCAAATTTATAGTTTTTAATGTTTTGATTCTGTGATGGTAAATTTTTTTGAAGGCTTAAGAAAAATAAGAGACAGATTTTTCCTCCTAGAAAACAAAGAACAAAATATGGCTAGGCAACTGGCTTGGGATAGAAGTTCAGTTTCATCTCTCTACTGGAAAAACATCACAGTTTTGCTGCATATTTTTCTTTTAATCTTTCTAGATTTGCTGCGAGTCTGAAATATTTAAATTTTCCTGACATATATAGCTCCTTGAGATTCAAACTAATGGTGTTAGAAGACGAATGTGATATGACACAGTGTACAGATAAAGAATATTAGTCACAATTAAGCCTCTTTATTGAGTACTTATAAAATATTAATTTTGAAGGGCTGCTGTAGAAAAGATTTCTCAAAGTTCAAAAACAGTGATGAAAGAGAGGCAAAGTCGTTACTTGTATGCACCTTTTAAAAATGAAGCGTATTTCCAAACATTTCAAAAACATGTCAAAAAATTAAACTCTAACAAGCAATCAGGAACATGGAAGACCTTGATCATATTACATTAGAAGAATCTATATTTGGAAGAACACAGAAATCAATGTTTTATTTGTCAATTTCCCCAGGAGAAGACCATATTATGTGCTAAGTATTTGGAATGACATGAGCATTAATGATAATTACTAAGAGAAGTCTTCCTCCCAGTGTGTGTCAGAACAGTTACTGTTGAAAAAAAATTAAAATATTATAGAAATCAAAGGAAAATTTGTGTGTCTGAAGTTGTTAACATTTTGCCTCATTTCTGTGCTTGAAAATACTGAGCTCCCCTACTAGTCATGCACTAGTTTGTTTAAATTTCGACATCTAAATTTAGCTCAGCTAAGATCTAGGTGATAGATTTGGTGATGTTCTAAATCTTTGGCTGTGAATTGCATTTTTCCTTAAATTTTACATGAAGATAATTTCCCAAAAGCTACTGAACCCTGCCTGCAATGACTTCCATTTGATTTATATTTGGATTTATGTTGTGTGAACTACAGTCCCAGACCTCATGTAGCAATAGTAAGAGCATTAGTGGTCCAGACAGTGTGACAACTTGGAACATCCCCTCTCTGTCCAAGCCAATAAGGGTACAAGCATGATGTCCTTGATAGCTACATACTACTTCCAAAACAATGCAAGAACAAATTGTGACTGCTTGAATTTTATAATATGCTATTATAGCCATGTTTTGCTTTCTTAAAAAAGGATTGTCAGTATTTCTAGCAAGCTACTACAATGTTGACTTTTGAGTCCACGTTACCTAATGTTCTTGACTTTTACTATTAGATCAAAAGTGTGAAAAAATTTTACATTAACAAGATTTTCTGTAAGATTATTGAATCTTTTGACTTGAGAAATTATTTCAATAGCTTTCAAGATTAAGTTTTAAATTAAGAACTTAGAATATTTACTCTTATCTGCCCCTAGCTTGCTAGTGAGCAAACCCTGTTATTAAAATAGGTCTCCATCAGTTAAGCTAAATAATTTAAACTTTTTGGAGAGTGGAAAGGCCTAATTCAATGACTTTTAAGTCATTACCCTTGAAATTATACAACTATGAGTGATATATATATATTTTATACAATATCTTTGTGCAGTGTTTCTAACAAAATATAGTAGTCATTTGGTTTTGATTTATTCCTTGATTCTTACTCTTGATGTAGGGATATCACCTTAAGGTGAGAACACCAATCTTTGTTATGCTTGCGTCTTTTTCTGCAATGTCTGTGTGCAGTTTCAACAACATAATTAATATACTATTAACCATTATTAAAAAGTATTACTGACAATGTGGCTGAAAGTTTTCAAAGGTGTGAGCTAATTTCAATCTCATGAAGAGTAAACATATCATTTTAATAAGAAGAATAGTATTGCCCTTTGGTCTGTAACAGAGGTCTATTTCTTTCCTTAATTTTCTTTCATTATTAGAACAAATTAAACTTTTCAGTAATATTCCATCCCAAAAATCCCTAATGTCTACTTTGTTGAATTGCTATTTTTTTTCAAAAACCAAAGGAAACTGAAGAAAGTTGCAGGGTGTTTCAGCAAATGCTGGTGGGGTAAGGCTTTTTAGATTTTTGCAGTACAGTCTTTGCAAGCTCTAGGGAAAGAACATTGTTTTCCTTGTACATCAGCTGTTTTATGTGCCGTGCAAAAGTATTCTGACTAGAAATTTGAACAAACCATTCCATGTTTCTTATTTGAAACAGGTGATTGCGAACTTGATGTCTTCAATTATGGCAGTTAAATTAGTGTGTTTTTAGTTCCTTACTTGTACTAATCAATAGATTTGTCTCACATCAGAGTTTTTGAAGGCTGTTATCAGTGGAAGTGGGGTGCAGTGCCATTTTGGTACTATGAAGAAAATTTTGTACTTTCCCACAGGCTGATGAGCTTAACACCTACTTGTCCCTTTGAAAAACGGTTTGCTATATACCCATAGCTACTGCATATATGAAGTGTTACATGTATAACTGTATTTTTAATCCACTTCTTAAACATTTATCAAAATAAGTGAGGCTGATGACTGACTGCTTTTTGGAGTTTTTTTTTTATTACCTGTGCATGATTTAAAGGGAATCCACTTTCTGAGATGACATTTGAAATTACTTTCCTGTCATCCAATCACATATATGTGCAGCTGCTGTGTGCACACTTATTTACAAAACAATGCCAGTTTAATGGTAAGAAATTCATCCATGAAAGCTTGAATATTAGGGTATGACTACTCTTCTGTTAAATGTCATTGGAAAACTACAGCTTTTGCATAGGTAATTGTTTGGCATGATAGAAATACAATGAGCTGGGAAAAGTAACAGAAGAGATTTGTATTTTACTTATGTGGTAAAAGACTTTAGCCTTACTCTCTTCCTGATGGTAAATTGTCCTGCAGCCATTCAATTAATATAAAATAATGATTTTATCTGTGTTTTCTTTGAACTGAACAGTTCACTACAAGTGAGAAACAGTTCAAGGATATTGCTGTGGAAATTATACTTTTGAATTAGATATCATCTTAATTATAATATGTTTAAAATGCTGGCAAGTTTAAATTTTTTGAAATATTGGAAAACAATGAAATATTGAAGAGCATTGTGGAAATACAGGCTTTCTCTGGGATATCTGGTGCTCCTGCAATGGTCATTTTTATTGTATATGATTTAGATTTTTCAGCTTGATTTTGTGCAGAACGTTAAATATTCTTAAGCAATAATTCCTGAGTTAAATATGTCCATTAGGAGCTTACAGGTGCAATGATATACTTCTCATTGTGTGGAAAAAGAGTAGGATAGAAAAACTTGGTAGTATCAAAAAGGTAGCAATTTCAATATCTTGAATTAAAAGAACTCCAACAGTCTGTTGTATTTATTAGTTTATATGTTTTATAAAATTATATTTACAGATAATTACATGTTTTTATTAGGGATGCAGTGGCTATGATTTTTCTTCCATGTTGCTTTAACTGTGTGGTGCTGTTTCTTGCAGCTGGATGAAGAAGCCTCGATGTGGTGTGCCTGACCAAACAAGAGGTAGCTCCAAATTTAACATTCGTCGGAAACGCTACGCGTTAACAGGACAGAAATGGCAACACAAACATATCACTTACAGGTACCAAAGATATTCCTATAGGTATACATATGTCAGTATCAGTGATGACTTTTCATTTAAAGTAAATATAAATTCCTGAATGTTTTTCAATACTTAGAGAAGTTTATTATTACTGTATGATATAAAAGTGCTAAATGGATACCTCCTATAAGTATGTATGTGCTGCATAAGAACCAAGTTGTTTTCCTGGATTAAAATTGCATGTATTTAGTAGTCAGTAAATCCTATGAAGCTTACAGCATCAATTAAACACCCAGTACTTCCTTAGCGTTACCTTTCAACTTTCTTGGCATCTTCTCAGAGAATAATGCTCTGAATCTAGGAGTGCTGTAATAAAACTCAGATTTCTTATTTAAATATGTAAAATAGGGTATTGGAAGGAGTCTGTGCAAAATGCAGGTGCCTCTGGGTCTGTTCTAAATACAAATTAATTTGATTATAATTTGATGAGTCACTGACCCAACCATTTCCAGTCTAGGTGATGATGGGCGTAGGAGCGTATGCAGGGCAGTACATCTGTATAACTCCTGCGTCTGGAACATAGTTAGCACAGTATGCGTGCTGTCAAAACTGAGGTCTTGAAGGGAAAGTTAGATGGAAACTTTCAAGATGTACTCAGTAGATCTCTGTCAAACAGAGAAAGTGTTATCATGTATACAATATAAAATCCGTAATCTGTCAGCAAACCAAGGATTCCAACAGAAACTGTTGGAAAATTTACACAGCCTCATCATGGAGTCCTGTAATATCTAACAGGGGTAAGTTCTGAGGGATAAAGTAGTTTTCACATTCATTAACTGGTGCCATTGTTCATGAACCCCTACAAATATTAAATTTAAATTTTGTAAGCCCTAATTGTCATATAGACTGTTCCTCATAGCCTGGTGAAGATATAGTTTCATTAGCAGCCCTATGTCACTACTGTGGTTTATAACTGAATTAGAGAATTCTAGTTTAAGACACTAAATTCTGACATAACATCAAGCAACAGACAACTTGGGGTTGGTATGTTGCATTGGCTGAAGTCCTTTATTGTTAATGTAAATGAAATTTATAGTTGGTTAGAATAAAAATGCCCACCTACTGCACTTTATATCTATTTGCATTTTAGAATTTAAATGCAGTGTGTGCACACTTAGGAGGCATGAGTAGTCATCTACTCATATGTGTTGTTTTCTACCACTCTGATTTGTACAGATTCTGATTCCCTATTTCAATACAGGATTTTTTACAACAGTCTAAATCCTACCCCTTCTATATCTTCTGGACTGTCATCCAAGGCATTAATCCAAATAGCAAATGAAGGTGTCCAGTAATCTAGAAGGTGTCAATCCAAATAGCAAATGAAGGTGTCCAGTATTAAACTAAGTGACAACTATCTAGTAATCTTTCTCACTCTGAAGAATTTGTAGAAGTTCTTAATCTTCTGCCTCCCCTCTTTGAAAATGTTGTCTCTCTCACTTTGACAGGACCTCCAGTCAAACAGAACTTTGAAGTGAATAAGTCTGTAATATTTTTTGCAGTGAATTACAGTACAAAGTACATTTAAAATAGAAACCCTAAATTTGATTAGAATAAAAAAGATACTATATTATTTTTGAATTAGAAAATAATCCAAAGCAAATAAAGACCAAAAAAAAAAAAAAAGAACTAAGATTCGTTTCACACTTTTCACCAATTCCCTGCTTATGGGCTTGTGACATTTTAACCTACTTTGTTTTCTAGAATTTTAATCATATCTCTAGTATCATTTATCTGCTCCATTTTTCTCTGCACCACTCTTCAGTCTCTTCATAACCTGCAGGTTTCCAGCTGCATTCTGTGCCTTCCTGTCCAGTTGAACCTTGCAGTCTGAAGTGTGCTTGCTAAGCCAGTTTACTAATTCCTCCACAGAAAGAGCAATTTCTCCTTCATTTCAGTGCATGATACAGCTTAAAATTTTTTGGAAACCAAAACCAAAACCCCACAACAAATACTTCCAAAAGCAAGCTCCCCACCCCTCTGTGCCCTGGAACTTTTCCATATTTTCAACATGTCATTTTTCCACCTGAAACAATTCTGCAATATTTCAAGATAGAGTTTCAAAGAAGCTACTTAAAATCATAATTATAATTACAAGTTACATTAATAATGTATTTTCCCCCATATTACATTTTGAACACTTATTATGTCTTTTTGGCAACATATTAAATTTTGGACTTAGATGATATTTATTCTTAGAATGTAATGTGTTTACAGACAGAACCAAAATACAGATTTCCAGTATTGTGAACATCAGCCTGGAATGTACAATGTGCTGCATTAATTATGCTTGCTGTCCCTCAGGGAATGCAGCTTTCTTCTCATTTGAACTGATGTGTGATGTTTGTTAGAATTTCTGTTTCCAACGAAATTACCCAGTTTACAGTATTTTTCTGACTGGTATAGTTCATGCTGATAAAACTTGTGAACATTATTAGTACACATGTTATAGAATAACACCACTTTTACAAAGAAACAGAAAGTAAGTATTTGAAACCTTTTACCAGGCAGAAGAGTGTATGGGTGAAAGAGAACATCTAGGGTACAAGAGAATTATGACTCCGCTACAGAAAAAGCTACAGAGGTCTTAATGATATAGTCATAATCTTTCCTTAGTATTTTAGGCTGTGTCAGATTACGCAACGATCTCTGAACATGGTACAGAATCAGAGAAGAAATTTAAGAAAGCTATGAATGGATTTTTTAAAATTAAAGATTTTTTTAAAAAAATTAAGGGGATTTTTTAAAATTAAAGATTTTTTTAAAAAAATTATGAAGGCACATATGATTCTCAAAAATATAGTCACCTTCTCTTTTGCTAGAAAAGTAAATAATCCAGTACTTTAAATAAGGAGCAACAATGTGAATCAATAAAGTTATCAGTTTTGTAAAAATAGAACATAAATGTTTATATGTACATTTTAGACAGGGCATCATTGAAGCCTTCCTCATCAGAATTCTGTGCATACTATTCATAATCTGAACTCCAGCAGTCAGTGATTTCTCAATTGCCTAGTCTTTTCTCAATTGCCCAGATTATTCTATCTGCAGAATGCTTTTGCAAGTTAAATTGGAGAATGTTCTGTAAAAATAAAAGATTTCTCTTGATTTATAACTATGAGTTAGAACTTGTAATAATTTACAATAAAATAATAATTGAAAAGCTACTCTGATTTATTTTTTCATGCTTAAATAAGGAAAAAACACAAATTCAATCAATCAGCAATATGTAATAATGTGATTGGTGCAGGAAACTTAGCTGTAGATACTCAATAGCTTCATCTCAAACCCACTATAATTAATTTCATTTTTTTCTTGACTTCAGTGGACAATGGGTCAAGCCCCAGATAATTGTCATTTTCCTTTTACAAGTTAGATATATCCTGGATTGCATTTCTGAAAGAAGATGAAAGATTTGAACAGGTCTAACTTTATGCTGTTCAGACAAATGAATGAATGCTAGCTGGGAGCTTCAGTATGCAATCAAAAGTCTTATCTGGCTTGTTAGCAATAGACTATGCAATTTCTATAGTCTAAATGATCCATATTGTGTAGAATATGGAGAGAGAATTTCTCCTTGGATATTTGAAATTCACTCTAAAAAATAAGGAAATACTGAATTAAGAAAAAAATTTAAAAATCTTGTTGATTCATAGTAGCAAAAATTGTTTTGAATGTATTAATACAAAGTAATATTTAGAACATGTTCCATGTTTATGTTGCATTTTATTGATTTGACATTACCTAGTAGCATATTATGACATCAGATTTCCTAACATAGCTTTCCTATAAGGACATTTGACTGTCAAGTATTTTGCTAATCTTGGGTTTTTGTCTTGGAAATCTTATCTCTTTCACGTTTCATCTTCTTTTAATGAATGTTGAGGAGAATATTATCCATGAAAATGAAGAGGCAAGGTAATTATAAATTCTTTCAATCATGGCAGCAGTAGCTTGAAAATCAAACCCACAGAAAATCAAAAGTAATAGTTCTGGTTTAGGTTTAATCAATGTGAGCAAGAGCTATATGAGCCAAGATAGCACTCTTTGTCTATAGCTACAAGGAGTCAGCAAACTGAAACTGGAAAAAAGTTGAAGCTAAAAACCTCACATCAATGGGAGATTAGTGAAGCAACTTCATAGAAACCAATTTCTAGAGAAATTATGGTGCAAAGTGAAATATGGTTTTGGCCAGAAGTAATTTATTATTTTCAATAAAATTTATAGTTTGATTAAAAACCAACCAACCAACCAACCGAAAAAAAAAATAAAATAAACCCCAAAACCCAAAAAAACCACCAAAACAACAAATAAACCCCCAAAGTTTTAGTTCAAATTAAAAACCAACCAACCAACCGAAAAAAAAAACCAAAAAAAACCCAAAACTCAAAAAAACCACCAAAACAACAAATAACCCCTCAAAGTTTTAGTTCAGTTTAGGTTTGATTTACATCAATGACAATAAAAAGGTTGTGTCAACAACTTATTCAAATTTAGTTTATGTTTCAATTCATTTTACTTGAACAGTTTCATATCAAGCAGAGGTCTTAACTAGCTTACTTCAAACAGATTATTGACTGCATCTTTTTACCTACTCAGTTAAAATTCCTGCTCTTTCATCTAGTTAAATTTCAGATTACTGATTTTACACAGTCAAGTGAGGTATATCCTGACAATCTTGCAAGGCTCCTGAAACTGATGCAGCCAAAAATATGTCAGTGAAACATGTATGATTTTTCTTTTAGGATATTCTGGGAAAGGAGTGGGAAGGTAAGGAAAACCCAAAGGTTTTCTGAAATCAATAGGACTCAGGATTCTAGAATAGCACTCTCAAAACTATTTCTACAGAGCAGCTGTAGAAATAGTACATGAATGTGAAAAATGTATATCAGTGATAAAATCTAATTGTTCTTGTGGAAGACATGTATTTTAAAGTTATAATGCTTGACACAACCATTAGGTTGGAAATCATACAAAATCAGCAGTGATAACCGCAAAAAAGCATAATCAATTGATACGTGGCTAGGGTTGTCTAAAAATAATGTCTCTCAAAATTTATGAAAGTTATCAATCAGTTTAATAGTTCATAAAAATGGCATGAAAATATATGTTTCATTTTATAAATTGCCTTTTTTTTAGTAATTACAGGATCTTCAACCTCTTTGTAAAGTTGCATTGCCAGTCTGGTCAAGGTCAGGTTTGACTCTTTCTCACATTTGAACTTTGCTGTGAAATGATCACTGGACAGTGAGGCTAGGAAAGCAATACTTAGAAAAAACACAGATTTTTATTATGAAGGGCTTTGTCTTGCTATGCTTTCACCTTGCAATAAGAGTGGTTCTGAATTGTCACATCCTACATATACTTCTGTTTGAGTTCCATTATCTGGACATGTTGAGTGTCAGATACCCAATTTGTGTCTTTTTTTTTTACTCTTGTGGGAGTTACCACTGTTTCAGGTGATTGCTGGATTTAAGGTGTGGATCTAAATTGGCAAGGGTTTTTATGAGACATTATTTGCTATTGCAATCATAGGTCTAAGCTGAAGACTTTTAAAAGATGAATCCTAGTATCTCTGGTAATTGATAGACTGTCTTTATGGATTGATTTAACTGTACTTACCCCTTGGAGGTTGTATGATAAACAACATGAAAGAAATGTAATATAACTTGGGTTTCAGATATCTGCACTGGTGAATTATTTTAAGCAAAGCTCCCAGCAAGACAATTTCAATGTTTGTGTCACTCTTCTAGGATTGAACCTGGATTGTGTTTAACACATTAAATGTAGACAGTTGTTTTCTGAAAATACTCTTGTATAGGAATAACTGCTGATTTATGTAATATCTCTTTCAAGCTACACTTTTCAGTATAATCTTGCCCACTCCAGAATGTTGGTTTGGAAGCCTGAAATCTCTCTGGTTTTAACACAGAAAGTATGCTTTGGAAAAAATATTACTTTACAATGAATCTGAAGATATAGAATGCTATTTCAAAAGTAAGTCAGTAGCTGAATCCCATGGAAGATATCTGCTGTCAAAGGTAGTCTACTTGAGCTTGCGAGTGTGAAACTAGCACAATAGCTCAATTCCTCATTTGTAACCTGATTAAAACTTAATTCAGTGTGCTGGAAATGTGAGAAAATGTAAAATGATAAGTTTTAACATTTGAGTCAAATGCTTTTAGACTAATTAATTACTCAGTTTACCACCAGTACAAAATTCCGATCCATTTTTATCCATTTCCTCATTTCACATACAATAGGAGAAGACCCTTCTTCTGTTTACTTAATACTAAAGTGGGACTTTGACCAATTACTAAGATTCCTAAATGAAAAAAGAAAAAAAAAATCAAACAAATAAATAGATAAAAAACCCCAAAGCCCAAGCTGTATATTTCAGGTGAACTTTTTCCATGCCAATATTTCCATTTTTTGAGACATGCTCTGTTTTCTATGAGAGCCTGTTGATTCGTTTGCCATATTTCTTATACATGGCAAATAACAGAGGCTCTAATCCTTCAAAGAGCTCTGCTTCAGGCAATACATGTGCCTTAGGGAGCACACAGCAGGACTGACTGAGAGCACATCTGCCAGCTTTGTAAGGGATATTCTCAGCATAGCAACAGTGGAGTTTTTGGTAGTGGCAGTGTAAGTGTGCCACTGTGATGTGTTTTTGAGTTTGTGTCATGGGACAGGTTCTAAAATGCCATACTTTCTCAGGGGGCACAGACAGCAGTTTATGAACTTGCTAATTAAAACATCTCAAAAAACCCGAATTCTCAAAGGCAGGAATTTTCAGAGAGGGGTTCTGCAAGGGCTGATTGTTGATACAGTCTGCCCAATATTTTTTTAATCACAGAAAACGCAATGTAACACTGATCATAACATTACTGACGAACAAATAATTATGAAGGGGCATCATAAAAAGCACTTTAAGTCACATGACATTTACATCATGTAGAGTAAGATCATGCCTAGAGATCAGAGGATATTTTCTCTGACAGCAAGATCAGTACTGAAGTATTTTATAGTTCTGACAGAGCCAGTTTTAAAAGAGCATTAAAAATTGGGTTGAGTTGAATAAAAATCACAGAAAATATTCAATAGACTGGAGAATATGTCTTATAACCTGAGATGTAAAGAGTTCAAAATTTTAGTTTCTTAGAGCCAACAAAAAGACAATGACTTTGCAGCGCAGAAGTGCCTTTTAAATGTCTTTGTGTATAGGGGAAAAATTTGAAAGGTCATGTATGTGAGAGAGAAAAACAGAATGAGAACCAATAATATAAGCCAGGCAATTAACAGAATAGGGACAAGTATTAATTGATTGGTTAAATCACCTTTGGAACAAAAGATCAAGGAAAACAGTGGATTCTCTACAAATATCTCTACAAGTACAATCTTGTACTTTCTGTTGATATCTCTCTGGAACATTCATATCAGCTAAAAAATTATGCTTTGGTTAGACAGCACTATTGGACTCAATACATTAAAATATTTTTTGAGTGAAAGTCTAAATATATAACTTTATGTTTTCTACATAAAACTATGAAGAAGATATATATATATGAAGTAAAATCTATAGAATTACACTTGAAAGATTTCTTTCCATTTATATAAACATAAATACCATATAATCAAGCACATTTAAATTACCAAACAAATCAATCATTCATGGTTTATTCATGAAAGTGTATTTGTTCTCCTTTAATGTGCCATGCTGTGTAAACTGGCAAAAATATTACATGTACTCTAGAACTACTCAATTTCTGAAATTTGTGCTGGACATTCAGTCAAGCACATGTCAAATGAACAAAGGGAATCTTATTGCAGCAGTTTCAGAGCAGACACAAACCTTAAAGAGTTTTTGCTGCCCATATAAATCGAGTGGAAATGATGCAGAAAATTGGATAGGTCTGAAATTGATTGTTGACATTCATTTCTTGAATTCAATGACAAAAATAAAGATTTTTTTAAAAAACTAATTTCACTATAATTTACTATGAGAGTAAACTTCAATTCTGATATTGTTTTGCCTTTTCATATGTATGTAACTTGAAGAAGTAATTGAGACTGAAATTTCTTTTTAATACATATTATTGAGTTAGCATATAATTGTCTTCTATGAAATGGTTTCTCTGATGGATTCTACAGTGTTATGCAAGATTTACAGATGCAATCAGATCATAAAAGGACATCTTAGCCTGTACTGAAGTCAAAAGGCTTTGTTTCTGATAAGGAATTTATCCAGTTGCAAATTCAACAAGGCCTTGTGAATACTGGTTGGTGGTCACAGTATGGAGTTCTGCTTTTGTTAATGAACTCACTAATAAGTAAAAAATCAATTTAACTAAAAACATTTTTCTTTTGATCAAAAAGAACATGACATTCTTCAGCTGTGATGGATTCTAATTGTGGTCCAGGAGGTAAACAGTCAGTGGTTGATGAATCTGGTTATCCCACTGTTAAGAATTTTTCATTTTAATATATTTTAAATATGCTAAATATAATATTCTTTGTACTGCTGGGAGTGAGCCAGCTAACATAATAAGTTCTAGCTTAAAGGGCTATGCAGATTGACACCATAATTTTGCACCAGCTTGTTTAAAAATACTCTTCCTAAAGTATATAACACTAGACTAGCATGTTTTATTAAAAGCACAGAGCTTATAATAATTAGGGGGAAATGGTTATTAGTGTCACTTACCACTCTGTTAAATTTAATCTATGTAATGTTTCTCTGTTTCTTTCAGCATAAAGAACGTCACTCCAAAAGTAGGTGATGCTGAAACTCGTAAAGCCATTCGCCGTGCCTTCGATGTGTGGCAGAATGTAACTCCTCTAACATTTGAAGAAGTTCCTTACATTGAATTAGAAAATGGCAAGAGAGATGTGGATATTACAATCATTTTTGCATCAGGTTTTCATGGAGACAGTTCTCCCTTTGATGGGGAGGGAGGATTTTTAGCTCATGCATATTTCCCTGGCCCAGGAATTGGGGGAGACACTCATTTTGACTCAGATGAGCCATGGACTTTGGGAAATCCCAATCATGATGGTAAGAGAAAATTTAATTTTAAACAAAATAGAAAAGTGGCATGAATTTTCAACTAACAAAACTGTTCCCTGTTCCCCTGTTCCTAAAGTCACATGGTTTTCTTTCCTTGGTTAGCATTACTTTAGAAATATATTCGCTTGATCACTCTCTTTGAATCCAAGGCTGAAAAGTGTCTGTCTGATTGTAATACAGTATGAAAACATGTTTTGCTTGAAAAACATTCAATTCTTATTAGGAAACTTCATGATAATTCAAACACTGTACTGGTGACTATTTATCTGAATTACTTTAGTTTTGCATTTTTTAGCATGTCAAACTTATTTAGGTTTAGGGGAAATGTGGAATATTTAGCAGTGATATAAGAACGACTTCAGCTATCCACCAATTCTGTGGATATTAATGGACATAAAACCTAGTCTTCAGTTTGCATCTATGATGAAGCAGTGGCAGCATTAAAGGCAAATCTTAAAGATGCTGTTCCAAGAACAGAATTGCTGTTTCCTCAAAACTTTTGAATGTCTTTTGGAGTTGTTGATTTTAACATGTCCAATTCAATTAAGTAGTACATTCCCCATAGTCAAATAAATAACTGCACAGTGCAGTTTACACACCTATCATTTACCAAATAAAGACTAAATATAGCTTTCATTCTTCACAACTAAAATCTGGCCATTGCCAAGCATCTCTCCAAAACACTATCAAAGAAGAGATTTTCCGTAGACATATTCTGTGTTTGATGCTGTGACACCTTTTGTTTCCAAGCAGCTTCAGGTTGTCCCGGTAGATCCCTCTAAGCCAGTTACATGAAGTTTAAGACATCTCTTCAGAGATGCACAAATGGGATGTTTCTGGCATACAAGAGATGATAGAGAGGGCAAGAAGTGGAGAACTGTTGTATTTCAATGTTACACTGAATTTGTGAATGATGAGAGGCTTTATTTAATTTATTTTCTTTCCCCTTCTCACCTGAGATTCTCCAAGTAAAATTCAGAGCTTTTTATGTGGCAGTATTTGTAGCCTGGGGTCTGCAACAAAACCTTAATTTAGCATTTTAGGAGAATAAATATGGTGTTGTGACTATTCCATTGGTTCAATACTTCTGCTGTGCCAGAGTCTGTTGAAGCCAGAGCTGTATAAGACACTGTAAAAGCCCTCAGTTGTGCAATGGGTTCAAGTAATTTCATTCTTGTGAAACAAGCCCTAGATTCTTACTGGAGCAAAAACTGTGGTATTGCACAGCTCATATTTGCCTTCTTCACACATTTAGCTCAAAGGAGCACTGGTGGGAATCCTCTGTGCAGTTCAGGTACACAGTCAGTCACAGAACTGTGGGGGTAAATGAAGGTGATTTCATGTGTCTGGTTTTTATGTTGGTTGCAGACCAACACTGCACATGATGTTCAGTGGTTTTGGAGCTATTGCTTGAAGCACTCAGGAAAATCTACAGGCATATGTACATTGAAATCAGGATGTCAGTTTAATTGGGATAACTCTTTTGGAGCAGTTCCACACCATGTATGAAAGTGAATGAACTTCTGACTGTCTCATTCTTCTTTAACTTAAACAATTTTCATATTGCCAAATGGCATTTACTTCTTTATAGAGCTTTTGAGGTTTGTGCTTTGTAGACCAGTTTGCAAAAGCTATTGCTTGTAGTAATATATTTTAATTTAAAAAATCAAGGGAAAGTAAATTGATGCTATCATTAAAATGGTGATTTTATGTATCTTAGTACTTTGAACTTTTATAATAAAAAGGTTTGCTATCTATATCACAAAGGTTTAAGAGTTACGATTGGAATTTTTTTCTGCACATTTAATAACATGTATTTTGTGTGCTTAAATATACTTTTTTTGAGGGACACATATTTCTAATAAAATGGAATATTCAAAGTAAAAAATGGAAGATTTTTTGAAAATGCATGATAGTTAATTAAAATATCCTGCCAATGCAAGTTGTCTGAAGAAATTTGGCAACTGTTAGTTTCATTGTTGACGTGGATCATAGGTCACAGTTGTTGTCCAGAGAAAAGTCCCCGTCCTTGTAGCCCTAGAAACATCAATTGATGTACATTTCATCTGAAAATACAGGGCACTTGTTTTTTTGATTGGTGACTTTTAGCTGTCAGGTAGGCCAGGTTTCCTCATTGTCTTACTGATTAGCTTGTGTTTAGGAATGCTGGAAGATCATATTGGTTTTGGGGTTTTTTGGTTTTGTTTGGGTGTTTGGTTGTTGTTGTTGCTGTTGTTGGGAGATTTTTTGAAAATGCATGATAGTTAATTAAAATATCCTGCCAATGCAAGTTGTCTGAAGAAATTTGGCAACTGTTAGTTTCATTGTTGACGTGGATCATAGGTCACAGTTGTTGTCCAGAGAAAACTCCCCTAGAAACATCAATTGATGTCCATTTCATCTGAAAATACAGGGCACTTGTTTTTTTGATTGGTGACTTTTAGCTGTCAGGTAGGCCAGGTTTCCTCATTGTCTTACTGATTAGCTTGTGTTTAGGAATGCTGGAAGATCATATTGGTTTTGGGGTTTTTTGGTTTTGTTTGGGTGTTTGGTTGTTGTTGTTGCTGTTGTTGGGGTTTTTTTGTCTGTTTTTTTTGTTTTTGTATTTGGTTTGGGGGTTTTTTGTTTGTTTTGGTTTTTTGTTGTTTGGTTTGGTTTGTTTTTTGTTTTTTTGGGGGTTTTTGTGCCTGGGAAAAATTTCCAGGGGGAAAAAAGAAGATGAGCACACTATTTGGGATTGACAGGAAAGAAAGACTTACAGCTCTCTTAGGCTTCCTTTAATTTTGAGCTGAGTCTTGGAACACGGAAAAGCAGAAGGTTGAAAAATATATATGTGTTCTTAGATATGAGTCATTTTTCCCAGGCGAGTGTCAATTTTAAGTTTCATTGCTCCAATAGTCCAATAGTCACCTTCTTGTAGTATTATTTGAAATCTGGTAGAATGGGAAAAAGATTTCATGATTTATTTTTATTTTTAAACTAACTCTCACCCCAAGGGGCTGATTTTCTCTGATTCCTATTCCAGTATCCCAGAGAGATTCAAAAACACAGAGTAACTTGTTTACTTAGCAGCAAGAATGCAAAAATAAGGTCCTTTTGAAAAGTTCTAGCCTCATTCTTCCCCTTGTACTGTTCTAATGAAAACAGTTTATATGCCATCTACCTCAGAAAAGACAGGCAATTTAATTAAATGCTTTCATAAACTGCTGTCTTTTTTAAAGTAATTTTCATTCCAAATAAGGGATCATATACAAAATCAGTATTCTGAGTATAGTTAATTATTACAGCAATTTATTCTGACTACTTAATTGCAGTGTCTTCATACTTCAGGTTTTTGGTTGATTTGGTGGTTTTTTTTTCTTATCACATTTTGTCAATTTTCTTGTATTTTTCTTTCATTTAATAACAGTCTAGACTCCAAGGACAGTTGCAATAGAAATACATCATCTCCAGCTCATTGCTGCTTTCCTTTGTTCTCACTTCAATGGTATGTTCTTATCAATCGTGTTCTGTGAAGAGATTTGTGCTTTGACTCCTCCCTCATCCTGAAGAATGAATGAGCTTTTGTAGGAGTAAAGACTAATGGGCCCATCACTCAGGAAAAAAAACCTCCTGTCATACAATTTTACACTTGCAGGCTTTCTACAAGGATATATTTCTTTGCTTTCATAATACCCTGTAAGCAGAGTACAGCTGGTACCTCAGCTCCAGCTGAGCTGTGGAGGTCTTTTCTCTGAATTTCCATCCATGGTGCTGCAGGTGATCCTAGAAATATTGCCAGAAAGTAGGACAATAGACTTAGCATCACAGGCAAGCAGTGGAAACAAGGACAGAATTTCTTTTGCCAAGGAAAGAGGGAGATACGGGGGTATAAAATATGGTGCACTTTTTTTTTTTTTTTTTTTTTTTTAATAAGGAAAGGGAACACTATTCTGTCAACACTTTATACAAAGTGTGTGTATTGGACTGTAGACTTCCTTTAGTCATCTCTCCTCTTCTAGTTTCCCATTTAGCAAAACTACTTTTCAAGTTCCCACGGGAGTAGGCTGTTTCACTTACAGTAGACTCCATTTCCTTTATGATCTGCGTATCTAGACTTCAGGTGAGATAAGAGCCTTAGCTCCTTAAATTATTTGGAACAGGATGGTTTTTTCATGCACCTTATGAAGTACCTTGCGCTCCTAGGCAGTCTCAATTAAAACTCAGTTATTCTGGTAGTGCTTGGCAAATACAGCAGAAGAAGAAACACTCTTCAGGAACAGCAAATCAAAATGGATGGGATTTTACAGGAAAATGTTTCACAATATGTGCACTTAAAGATGTAAAAATGTAAAGGGATAAACAGGAAATTAAAATCACGTTGCATAAGTAGATAGCTGAAAAATCATCACTTATTAGGAAAAAAATTAAATCCTTATTTTCTTTTGAACTTAAAACTGTAAACAAAACAAACAAAGAAAAAAAAAGTAAAGGAAAAAGAAATAGAAAGAAATCTTAATATACCAGCATTGAGATTAAGGAGGGACTTCCTTGTTCCCATGACTCTAATCCCTTTAGGTGATATATATCCTCTCATTGTTTTTAAATTAAAAAATTCTGGACAATGAATGATGTATTAAATCCAGAAAGTGACAATGACTTCTTCCTAGGAGTGGCAGTACTTTGGAGATATTGTACTGTCCAAATCCGCAAAAAAAATCTTTTTCAAAGTGTTTTCTTCAATGGCAATATTTCAAATGACTATGATGAAATTCAAAGTCACTGCAAGGGAGCATCTCAGATAGGTGCTGTCTCTGTAAATTTTCTAGTAGCTTGAAGAAAAATCCTGTCTTATGTCCTGTTTTTCTGTACCAAGTCTGAAAGGGGCATCTTATTAGCATTATTGCAATGGTTTATCAAAATTTATTTCACATTTGTCTGTCAACATGTACTTAAGTTAGTTTAAACCTTTTTTAAAGCAGTTATTTTTTTCTGGGAAATTACTGAAT